ATATTAAACTATATTGTTGAAGACTGAATTACTAAAATGGACATTATGCTAACTTTTTAACTGTCAAATTTTGTTGAATTAGAGATTCATTTCAAAAGATTGGCAATTTTGATTGATAATGAAAATTTTTTATGATACAATATGGAAACTACCTATTAGTAAATTATACAAAAGACTGCCCTACTCTTTGAACGTTAACGATACATCCTGAACGATATTTATAAAAAAAGTGTTAGTCACGTGGATTATTGATTGTTTTTCACTGTAAGATGCACAATTGAAAAAAATTATGGCAAAATCCCTAATTGTTTTATTTTTACCTGTTCACTGACCATTTAAACTTGGATGAACATAACCATCGAAATAAAGGACCCACAGACTAACTTTTATGGAGTGTTTATGGACGACATTGGAAAGTACAACATATTTTACGGTTTCTAGCACTTAACCAATTGTTCCAAGTTAGGTAAAATCTTAACACCTTATAGCTCCCTTATGACCCCACCCACCCCCCGGTCAAAAAAAAAGAAGAAAAGTCAAGAAAATTGATTTTGAAAAAAACGATGAATAATTAAAAATATTCACAAAGCAAGTAATGGTTACATGCTATTATATGTTACACATGATTGTATGCAATGAATTACTGATGTTGCTATATGTATCACCATATTTATACTGCGTGACTAACGCAGTTTGGGCTGTATTTGCATATTTTGCATATTTTTATCTTTATTTGGAAATTTACTGGACTGAACGTGTCGTTTTCAATGTTTAGATCATTTGACATAATTTATTTTTAATGCATTTTCAAAATGTGTATGGCAGTTAGCTTGAATCTGGAGGCGTGGTGCATTAAGAAATAAAAATACAACCTCCATGAGAAGTATATAACTAAAGACTTACCTCTATAATATTTCGTTCATTTAGAGTAAAAAAACTAGACTAAGTATATACATTTTATGACGTATAAACACCAAAGTACCTCCTGTATGGATTACATAAATTATATAACCAAGCAGAATGCGTATTGTGTATTTTCAAATATTGAACTGTAACATACATATCTATGCATACTATGTTTACATGTGAGCGTTCTAAGAAGTACATGTTAAGTTAATTACAAATTACAAAACATTAATTAAAAACAAATTTCATTTGTTTTACAATTATTTCCACTTATTCATCAATTTAGGATGTTTTTGAAATTGATTAGATTATTTTTGAAAAATGAAAAAAATACATTTGAATCATTAAAGTTTATCATTTGCTATTATGAAAATTGTTTTATCAATTTAATATTTGGAAAAAAAGGAACAAATACAATGTTGTCACATTCGCTTGATTTATAAATGGGTTAGAACACAATTCTGTAGTAACGTTTTAAATATTATTTCTGTTTAACGAGATCGGAAAATTACATCAAAAGATGATACTATATTTTCGTCTCTTGGTATTGAGTTGGCGAAATAAAGTCTGGTCAAGTTATTGTAAACATAAAGGTGACTTGAATACAAAACAAAAAGAAACATGAATACCTAAAATGCTAACAAAAGCATGACTAGACAAAATTAAATGAACAAAATGTTATCCTTTGGGTACTCGTATATGTTCCCTGTGATATACTCTTACTGTTACTGTATACCTAAATGTGTGTGCTCTTCTTCATAGTTTGCGAAATATTGTACCAACTTATGTTTCAAATAAAGTAGACTAATTTTAATCAATAATTTTTGATTGCATAACAGAACTTTAATGATTATGTTGATGATGGTGGTTTTTGTAGTTTTCACTCCGGATCACGGAAGTAAGCCACATTGAAATAACCAGAGCACATTTTCTTTGAGAAGGATAAAAAGTCTGTACATAATAATCGCGTCAAAACACATTTAACCTAAAATGAGCGAAACAATTTTTGATGAAAAGGTTCATTTTAAAGCTAGACATCAGTAATTCAATAATTGGGTGTTTTCACCGTATATTCCTCTTCGTGTATACATATGCGTTAGGTCGAAGGAAATTACTACTGTTCTTGCCGTGACACATTTTAGGCCTCTCAAAGAATAATGGAATGAATCTATTTCCTAGAAAGATTCGTCTGGTACTCACAATTGAGCCGCGTCATGACAAAACCAACAAAGTGCGTTTGCGACCAGCATGTATCCAGACCAGCCTGCACATCCGCGCAGTCTGATCAGGATCCATGCTATCAGTTTCTCTACTTGTCATAGCATGTATAGGGTCTTTAAGCGAACAGCATGGATCCTAATCAGACTGCGCGGATGCGCAGGCTGGTCTGGATCCATGCTGGTCGCATACCCATTATGTTGCTTTTGTCATGACGCGGCACATATGTTTTCCTTCTTTTGACAAGATGTCTTTATAAATACATTTGTAAGGAAAATAGCCGAATACAAAATGTCGGAAACCGCTTGCATTGAACCCTCAATATTACATTTAAATTTCTTTTAAATTTCAAAACAATCAAATTACAAAGTTGCATGGTAAAAGAAGAATATATTGATAAGGTTAATTGTATAAAATTATAATAAAGAATCTTAGCTCAAAAAGATATTACTTCAATGTTATTGATGATATTAATTATATAAAATTATAATAAATGAACAGCATTGCTCAAGTAACAGAACTATTTTTATTCAAGTAAAGATAAATTAAAAAGAAACATATCCTGTTGTTCGTGCTGTTGGTACTTAGTTAACACCAACATCCTGTTTAGAGTTATACAAACAAGTAATAAAAAAGGAACAATATACATTTGTGTTAAATGCTAGTTGAAAAAGAGGAGAAAGAATAGCAATTAAAAAACATCACAAAAAATGTAATGCTTATGTGTCCAGCTACATTTGGAACTACATTTCAAACTACCTCATTTATATTGAAATTAAATCCTCTTATTTACCATGCATGACTTATTGTACTGGGCACTGATGAAACTGGCACTTGTGCGAGTATATTATGTGTTGGTGCCCGCCCCCCCCCCCCGACGCCCGCCCCCCCCCTCCCCCCCCCAAAAAAAAAAAAGAGAAAAAAGAAATTAACATCAACAGGGCAAAACAATAGAATAAAAATACGATTTTGATTTAATTTCTGAGTGTATTTTTCATTTTATTTTTGTATATATCTTTCTGTTTTAGGTACTCCAATTGATCAATATCAGAAAGTTTTTTATGTTTACAGGTCTTTCGACATCAGAGGACTTCCTTAAGAAATAATTTATTTTTACCTGCATTTCATTATAGATTATGTATGGATGCTATTTGCTTATGTTTTAACCAGAAAATGCTCTGTTAATATGACTGATATAGTATGCTTACCCATTATGTTGGTTTTGTCGTGACGCGGGACATATGTTTTCCTTCTTTTGACGAGATGTCTTTATAAATACATTTGTAAGGAAAATAGCCGAATACAAAATGTCGGAAACCTCTTGCATTGAACCCTCCATTTTACATGTAAATTTCTTTTAAATTTCAAAACATTCAAATTACAAAGTTGCATGGTAAAACATACCACCATATATTTTTCAATCGTATAAAATTATATAATAGCTTATTAAAATCCACTTTTTTATTTGAAATTGCTTTCTTAATTGTTGTTTTGTTGTTGTTGTTGTTGTTTTGTTGTGTTTTTCTTTAAATAAAAAAATCTTAGCTCAAAAAGAAAAGATATTACTGCAATGTTTTTGATAAGGTTAATTATATAAAATTATAATAAATGAACTGCATTGCTCAAGTAACAGAACTCTTTTTATTCAAGTAAACATAAATTAAAAAGAAGCATATCCTGTTGTTCGTGCTGTTGGTACTTAGTTAACACCAACATCCTGTTTAGTGGTATACAAACAGGTAATAAAAAAGCCAAAATATACACATTTGTTAAATGCTATTTGGAATAAAGAAGAAAAAATAGCATTTAAACATCATAAAAATTGAAATGCGTACTTGTCAAACTACATTTCAAACTACATCATTTATATTAAGATCAAACAAATCCTCTTGATTACCATTCACGACTTACTGTATTTGGCACTGATGCGAGTATTTTATGTGTTTGGTCCCCCCCCCCCCTCCCCCCCCCCCCCCCCAAAAAAGGGCAAAAATAGCATAACAATACGATTTTAATTTTATTTTATAGTATATTTCTTAATTATCTTGTGTATAAATCTTTCTGTTTTATGTACTCCAGCTGATCAATTTTAGAAAGTATATTTTTATGTTTACAGGCCTTTGGACATCAGTGGAATACCTTTAGGAACAATATAGACTTGCTCTTTAAATGTACTACCGGTATATTTTATCTGTATATTTGTTTATGTTTTAAACATCTCATTTAATCCAGAAAATGCTCTGTTAATATGACTGATATAGTACTTGTTCTGTTTATATATGTTTAAATTAACAAACAAGCACTATATGTTGGTGCTAAAATTATTATATAATGATTACAGCAATAAAGATTTTGAACATATAAAAAGAAGTTACTTATCTGCTTTGTGAGAAATAAATGGCAAGATACAATGCACTATCGATTATGGCAGTTCCCGTAAATGTAAAAATAAACTATTAAACAGCTGTTTGCGTTCAAAACAGTATTGATTCAACACAGTGTTGACGTGCGCAAAAGAAAATAAATCATATTATTATATACACAAATTGAGTATTGAGTTTTATTATTATAATAATAATAATAATTATTATTATTATTATTATTATTTAGCGAAATGAAATTAATGTGTAAATGTGATTAATTTTAACATTATTTTCATTTCGCTACAGGAGTAACAAAATGATAAAACTATCACAAATAATTTAATACATTTGAAATATAGCATAAAATGCTAAAATCAAACCGGGTCTGCAACATTTTTAATTTTGCCGTTTTGGGCGTTTTTCGGGGATTCCATTTTTCTGGATTGAGTAAAATTATTAATGCTAAGGAAAATAAGATATGTACACTTCTGTATTAAACAACGTTGTCTTTGTCCTCTAGGAATATTTTTAATTCGAAATACAAAAATTAATACGATTTCACTCATTTGCAACATAAAGATCCCAAAACTATGATACAATATTTGTTAATAACAAAATTGCTTTGTTTATCACACGCGATGTCAAAATAACTTCACGCGTTGCCAATATCATTTATCGTACACTTTGTCTGTTGTTTGTTTTGGGTTTTACGTCACATCGACATTGTATAGGTCATATCGCGACGTTCCAGCTTTACTGGTGGAGGAAGACCTCAGGTGCCCTTCCGTGCATTATTTCAGGCACGAACGGGTACCCGAGTAGAACCACCTACGTTCCGTAAGCTAGTTGGATACATTCCTCACATGAGTGAATCCAAAGTCCCTTTCGGGACTCGAACTCACAGCGGTGAGGGGAAAGTGGTTTGAAGTCAAAGACCTTAATCACTCGGCCAAGGACGCCCCTACACTATGTTTGAATAACCTCCTTAATCACACGCGTTGTAAGCCTCATTCATCATAAATGTTGTCAGCTGCATTTATCGACCAAGGTGTCTGAATAACTTCCTTTATCACACGCGTTGTAAGCCTCATTTATCATTAACGTTGTCAGCTGCATTTAGCGATCACGTTGTCTGAATAACTTCCTTTATAGCACGCGATGTAAGCTTCATTTATCATAAACGTTGTCAGCTGCATTTATCGACCACGTTGTCTGAATAACTTCGTTTATCACATGCGTAGTAAGAATAACTCTGTTCGTCCAACAAATTGTCTGAATAACGTCGTAATTCTTACGCGTTGACGTACGACAAACGGGAAAACTATTTTTAGATTATTCATGTATTTGGTTTAGGTTTTTCTAAATTCTTTATTTCCCGTTCTTGCATCACCTTTACATTTTGATGTAGATGTCTGTTTCGGTTAAGAAAGCAGCTAATCATTTTCAAGCAAATACTGAGTTTATTGAAATGTCATTTAAAATCAAGAAACGATTAAAATGCTTCCATAATTTCGATTTTTCTTTGTATGTCATCTTCAAGTTTGGGTAGACAAAAATAAATAGCCTCTTCTCTCAATTCATTTAAAACTTGCAAATCATTTGGAAGACAGCCAATGGGCATCACGCAATCGTACATTAGAAAATTCAGAATGAATTTGAAGTGTGACGGGTCTCTGTCTATAAATATTTGTGATTTTGGGGTAACATTTAGTTTGCACAGTTTAGAAATAAAGGACTTCGGTCCTTTCATTAATGTTGACTTTCTGATGACGAAAGGATTTCCTCCTACGCATAGAATAATACTATCGGCCTGCCAATGTTAAGTTTGTACCAAATTATGGTTTATAATTTCTGTTTCCTTTCCAACCATTTTTTCAAGCTCATCTTCGTACTTTAAACCGCAATCAATGTCTCCTTGAAGTTGGTTATTTTGTTTAGGAGAATATTCAGTAATAGCCTGGCTTAGTTCATTTGACGTGTTTAGAATATCGCTAGGTGACTCAGGTTCAACTTCATTGTCATCAAATGCAAACTTATCTTCGTACTTTAAACCACAATCACTGCCTCCTAGAAGTTGGATATTTTGTTCAGGAGAATATTCAGTAATAACCTGGGTTAGTTCACTTGACGTGGTTAGAATATCAATAAAAGACGCGGGTTCAACTTCATTGTCATCAAATGCAAACTGATCTTTGTGCTTTAAACCGGAGTCGCTGCCTCCTTGAAGTTGAATATTTTGTACAAGAGAATTTTCAGTAATCACCTGGCTTAGTTCATTTGACGTGGTTAGAATATCGCTAAAATACCCGGGTTCAACTTCATTCTCATCAAATGCAAGCGGTTGACTGATTATGATTTCCGATGGATCAGGAACAAAATCCAAATCTAAACCTGGATTTGCCCCCTTTTGGATTTGTTGTAGTTGAGGTTTAATATGATTCAGTCTATATGGATGGTATATGTTCATTATCTTATAATGTTTATAATTGCTTACCCCTGTTATGGATTCCAGGTCACGAGAAGGCAGTTGCAATGGCAATGAATTAAACTCTTTTTGAATATCATTATTAATTTGATCGTCAAGGTATTTTCTTTTTTGAACGGCACTGGTCTCTATTAGTCCAGACTCTTTGTGAATAAGGACATATCTACTTTTACTTGAACAGTTGTGTTTTCTTTTTATTTTCCTTGTATAAACTTTCTTGCATCCAGTACATTGGTACATGAACCCGTAGTGAAATGTTTGTATATGTCTCTTGCATTCACTTTGGCTGTTGTATGAACGGGACTTGTCGACACACTTCTTACACACATATCTAGGGTTCTGTAATAAATACAATACTATTTTGAATAATGGTAGGAAAAATGAAAAATGAATCAATCAGAAATTTTGTTTTCATTAAATCGTCTATCTTTGTTGATTTACGGTTAATGTGAAGAGTAGTAATCTGTGACTTACTACTTATAATGCTTTTTATTTTGCCTGGCAAAATAAAACCTCTAAGCAAATAAAAAATATTTTTATGATAATAACAAAATATAGTAAATGTTGCGTCAAAACCATACCCATTAGGTATAAACTATACTATATTATACTTAACTATACCGTTTCAGTTGTTTTTGACCCTTCCGTTTGGTAATAGCTCATAGTAAACACCACGGGTACCTTAAGTAAGTAAAATAGTGTTATACATTTCTAATATGTAAAAAAAAAGAACAAACACCCTTATTGGTAATAAAAGGATTTGACATAGATGAGCTGTATGCCTGAAAGGAAATCTGTATGCAATCTTGAATCTCCCTTCCAGATCCTCCATGCCATATATATTTACCGGCATGGGTAAAACTAGCAGAAACACCGGTCTGATATGCAAGAATGTAAGAAAAGCTGGTCTGTTTAATATGAAAGACTTTAACTGGGACATTGCATCTTATTTCATCATGAGTATATCTGGTGTCATATGTTACCTTGATCTTGACTTCAAAAACAATTCCAAAGTTAAGTCTTATTGTTCAACCAACTGTACTCTTTAGTAAAATTGCAATAGTTAATTTAAAAAAAGGCTCTTGTTATTGGCCTAAAATCGTGTTCAGTAGACCTATTAGAGTGTAGGGACATGATTTTCACAATTTTGGTAGAGGTCATATTAGTCCATGCTATACTAGTATTCCAAATAGCTTAGTTCTAAGCTCGTTGTTAAACAAAAGTTGGATCATATGTTTCCTCTACAACTATGTAATCAGTTATTCAATGGACATAAAGTTACATCAATCTGCAGTGCTACACGGTAATGATTTGTTTACAATTATAATATAGTTCAGGAAGAATGTTAAATAAAATTGTAGATAACAACGCATGAGTGACTGACAACATCAACAAAGCTCAGCCTTGAGCAATTTGCGGTCAGGTGAGCTAACAAAAATGATAATAGTAAAATAAAAAGACATGGTATTTTCCACTGAAAGTCATTCGTATTCAGAGTAATTATAACAGTTTAAAAAGAAATACACGGTTAAAAAAGAGATATTTTATATTTTTAAATGAACTATACTTACTACGTGAAGTAATAGTAGCTTCAAAACAAATAAGATAAATAATCCATGTATAAAATAGTTAATTTAGGTAATTTATAACAATCAGTAACAACTGTTATATTCGAAATGCAACTTACGTCTAAACTGGTTTTGAGACATAGAGAAAAGTGTCCACCAAATGTCGCATAATTTATTTTCTTTTTTTTCTGTTATTTTATCGTCTTCTCGAGCAGGTAAGTGCAAATAGTTTTAAATAGAATGTGTACGCGCATGTATCAATATATACTTTCTAATCATCACTCAACTGTTTTCACATTTATTATGTCCAATAACTGTTTCATCTTTTAACTTCAACGTCTGTTTATTTATTTGATAATAATATTAACAGTAGTTTTACAATAAACAAATGTGCTTTAAATTTACAGTGTATTTATTTTTCTTTGTTGTTTCGGTTGGAAGGGGGCGTGCGTGTGCGTTTTGGGGTTTGGTAGTTTATTATTATTATTATAATTATTATTTTTATTATAACTTTTATTATTATCATTATTGTTATTATTATTATTATCATTATTACTATTATTATTATTATTATTAATATTATTATTATTATTATGATTATTGCTTTTGTTATGCCTATTACTATTACTACTACCACTGTTGTTGTTGTTGTTGTTGTTGTTGTGGTGGTGGTGGTGATGTTGTTGGTTGTTGTTGTTGTTGTTGTTGTTAATATTCATTTTTGTTAATTTGTACATGAAATACACAGACCATTTATTTATTAATTTTTTGTTTGCACATATCGATTTTATATGAAACACATCTTTTAAGAAATTCATTATATAATGTACATGTTGGTTGTTTTCAGATAATTATGTCTAAGCATCATGTGTCACTGTAATATGAAGATAGTATAGATTGTGATGTATTTTGATTGATATTAACAGTAATTGCAGATGACTTCAAATAACCGAGAAACTGATCTGAATCTTAATATTATAATGCATTCTTACTTACGTTCACATCATTGTCATGCTCATGAAAGTTTCTTGATCAGTACCAGTTAAATACAAAAGACCGGTGGGGACATTTCAACTTCAACAATTTTCGATTTCATCTTTGTGAATTCACAATTTTAACTTCGTAAATTCACGATTTCAGCTTTACGAATTTATGATTTCACCTTCATGAATTTACGATTTCAACTTGGTGAATTCACGATTTCAATTTCACGATTTCACGATTTCAACTTCATGTATTTACGAGTCACCATCATTAATTAACGATTTCATATTCGCGAGTTCATGACACGATTTCAACTTCACATTATTACTCAAAACTTCAAATCGGGAATTCGTGAAGACATGTCTTTCGTAGTTAAAATTTCCATTAACTTCTTTACCTATATGAATCTCAACAAATTCTTCCTTTACTTATTTTTTTCATGCGAGGCAGCTAGGTTATCAAATGTATTTTACCGTCTTTTGATACCCGCTCTGACAAGAAATAATGAAGGAAAGAGCACCCAAGATAGTCCTTCACCGGAAACACTAATTTAACAAGAGCTGTCTGTAGGACAGCACGCTCGACTATTCTAAGTGCTTGACAGTAAAAGAGCCTTGATATTGTTAAATTTTTTAAGTTCACAAAAGGGCTAATTTTTTTTTATAAATTCATGTTATAGGCCTTGGAGAGAGTCTAATTATACAGAATTGGCTTGACTATTCGGAAGGTAATGTCACAAGGGTTTTTTATTGAGTATAATAATACTAATTACCTTTGAATACATAAATTTGACAGAAAAGGTACAAAGGTTTGTTATTAAGATGTTTTATCAAGTAAATCACTGCTTTATTATTATGAATGCATAAAATTGTCCCAAAAAAGGCACAAACCCTTCAGTAGTTATTGAGATAACAGCTTACAAGCAAAACTTTACCATGAATTTCTAAGTTGAAAAAGGGGAGAAAAATCAGCCTAAATGCAAGATAGAATTATGGATCTTTGTCAGTGACCTACAATTATGACCCTAAATGCATATGTGAAGTTTTAAATAAATATCTTTAATAGTTATTGAGATATGTAAAACTTGCATGTAAACATTAACCAAGAAACTAAGTAGAAAAGGGGATATGAATCAGCCTTAATGCAAGATAGAGTTATGGAACTTGGTCAGTGGCATACAATTATGACCCTCCAATTATGACCCTAAGTGCATGTGTAAAGTTTCAAGTAAATATCTTTGAAGACCGTTAACCTTTAACCAAAATTTCTAAGTTTCAAAGGGGCAAATAATTCTGCAAATATTGCAGACAGAGTTATGCAATTTTGCAAACTAATGTACATTGTTACTATAAATAAGTATATTTAAATTTCAATTGAATATCTCAAGCAATAATTGAGATATTTGACTTAACAAAAAAACTTCAACCAAAATTTTTAAGTTCCAAAGGGGCATAATTCTGTCAATATGGTAGGCAAAGTTATCCAACTTGTCAATCTGATGTACATTGTTACTTTAAATAAGTATTGTAAGTTTCAATTGAATATCTCAAGCAATAATTGAGATATTTGACTTTACAAAAAACTTTAACCAAAATTTCTAAGTTAAAAAGGGGCATTATTCTGTCAATATTGTAGGCAGAGTTATCCAACTTGTCAATCTGATGTACCTTGTTACTATAAATAAGTATTGTAAGTTTCAATTGAATATCTCAAGTAATAATTGAGATATTTGACTTTACAAAAAACTTTAACCAACGCAGACGCCGACGCGGACGCTGACGCCGACGCCGACGCCGGGGCGACTACAATAGCTCTCATATTCTTCGAATAGTCAAGCTAAAAATCGAAAAGAATCAAATAATCGAAAATTACACTATTATTTAAACCCAATACGCAAATCGTACAAAAATACGTGGTTATATTGCTAAACAGTATACAATCAAACTTTTGAAATTAGTGGAGCGATGAAATGGTGTTTGTGAAGCCATTTCAACTGCATGCTTTTTTGCTTTTTATAATTCTCTGGTTTCCTCACAAATTTTAAATATCATCTTGTAATTCTCTTCATGTTTGTTTTTGTAGCATATCATTTTTTATCAATTACGGGAATGTATATATTCTTGAACTGTAGATATCATAAACAGCTGGATTTTACGGCGATCTACCAAATGCACGGAAGGGCACCTGAAGTCTTTCCCACCACTAAAGCTATAAAGACGCCATATGACATATACTGTGATGAGTTACTACCCCCTCCCCCCCCCCCCCCCAAAAAAAAAAATAAAAAAATAGGGGGTGTTCTAAAATAGGGCAGAATTTTTTACGATAGTCTTCAGTCACTCTAAATTTGATTGCATTTCGTATAAGTATGTTTCAAAATATATTTCTCGCGTTAAGTATTCACTGAACTATTTTGTTATAACGTCTATAACCAATAGCTGATTCATTAAAATATCCATTTTAGGAAAAAGGAATCACTTGTTACATTCAAGTAACAAACTTTTCTTGCTTAATGGTTGTTTTAAGACGAACTGTTGCAAATGTGTTAATAAATAAATGTTACCTTACTAAACACTGATTTGACCATTTTTCTGCATATGGTGCTCATCTGGCACTCCCTCCCAGATCCCCCATGTCATATAAATTTACCGGCATGGGTAAAACTAGCGGAAACACCGGTCTCATATACAAGAATGTAAAAAAGCTGGTCTGTTTAATATGAAAGACTTTAACTGGGACATTGTATCTTATTTCATCATGAGTAACCTGGTGTCATATGTTACCTTGATCTTAGGCTTCCAAAACAGATCCAAAGTTAAGTCTTATTTCACAAAACCAACTGTACTCATTAGTAAAATTGCAATAGTTAATTTAAAAAAGGCTCTAGTTATTGGCCTTAAATCGTGTTCAGTAGACCTATTAGAGACATTGACGTTATAAAACACAAAAACAATCTAAACAAGTGACATGATTTGAAGTGGTTAGCGAGTGAAATGGTTGTCAACTTGACAAAAATGGCTACCGAGTCATTGATATTTATAAACAATATGTATATAAATTTATAAAAAAATTATTTCAAAAATTATTTTCTCACAGTTTTGATTCCAATATTAAAAATATAAACATAATTCACTATTAAATAAGAATTTAATTCCTTGCAAAATAAATGTGAAGAAAGCAATATTAAACC